GGGGGGGGGGGGTGCCCGTCCCGGGGCTCGGCGTTTCGCATCGCGGTGCTCGGCGCTGCACGCCCGGCGCTCGGCGCATCGCACCGCCGGGCCGCCAGGGGTCGCTGTGCCGAGAGCAGAGCGGGGCGGGTCGCTCCTAGGTGTTTCCAGCCGGTAGCGTTTGGCGGCGCACACGGAGGGGCGGGGAGGGGCGGGGCTGGCGCGGGCCCCGGCGGGGTTTAGGCGCTGCACCGCGGCAAGATGGCGGACAGGGAGGAGGCGCTGAGGGAGTTCGTGGCCGTGACCGGCGTCGAGGAGGAGCGAGCGCGTTTCTTCCTGGAGTCCGCCGGTTGGGATCTCCAGGTAGCCCCGTCGTCCTCCCCGTCGGCGGCGGGAGCGTTGGACCGGGAGCTCGGTCTCCTGCAGGTTCAAGGCCTCGCCCGGCGGCCGCTCCCGAGTCCCCGGCCCGCAAGGGTCGGTCTCCGCCGGTGCCGCGGGTCCGGGGGCTGGTTGGGGCCGAAGCCCGTCCTGGTTCTCTCGTTAATTTGAACATAGTTAATTTCTAGAACGGGGCGAAGAAGCGGGGTCGGGGGGGGGTTCTGGGTTTTGCCGGGTTTCCGTGGGTTTTCCTTGAACGCTCGTGCGGTTGTTAGTGCTTCAGCGTTTGTACTTTCAGCAGCAGTCCCGGCACCCCCAAATTAAGGGGGAGATCGGCCACCACTTTGACCTGCTCCTGTCTCCCATCCCCCTCAAACGATCCGGCTGTGTGAATCTCCAAGTCTACTCACGGATGTCACAAAAGCAACTGTTTCAAAACAGTAATTTTAGCACAACCCCTGTAGAAATATTGCAGAATAAGGGTGAGTTGCTCTGGCATACCTGTAGCGGTGAGTGTCCTACCACGACAAAGCCAAATGTCAGAAGCTGGCAAAGCCTCATCTTTGCTAGGACCTCCAAAGAGGGAAATTACATGAAATGTCTGTATGTTATTTGGGTGTGGTTTTGCCATTTTTGCTCTCACCCTGAAAAGCTCCTGTGGTGTTCCTTTCCAGATTGCGCTTGCCAGTTTCTACGAGGACGGGGGTGATGAGGACATTCTGACTCTTCCCCAGCCGACACCCAGCTCTATATCCAGAGGCACTGCAGCCAGGTGAGGAGGGAGCTTCAGCTCAGGCCGATCTGTTTATCGGCAACTTGTAAACCTGACAGTGAAAACTACTTGTGTAAAAGCGCAAGCTCTGTCTAAAGTACTGGTGTATGTTAATTTTCAGGAGAAATAGTTCTGCGTTTAGGTCTGCTTCACCTAATATACCTCTCTAGAAATTGTGAAAACCTCAGCATTTATACATCACAAGCTCAGATGTTATGGCACAACTAATCCAAAGATCAGTTAGGACAACTTGCTTCATTGCTCAGGAAAAACTTGATTTGTCTTTTGAGGTTAGAAGACAATCAGTTGGTGACACTTTCATTTGAGCAGATTGTATCTCCACAGGAAAAATATTTTCTAATTTTGTGTGACACCTGATCTGATGAAGTCGAGCTTTTTACCAAAGGAGGTTACTTTTGCCTTACCAAATCCTTGTGCGGTAGGGAAATACTATCCAGTTTTAAAGAGAAGGAGTTACTGACTATATCCTGAAGGAAAAGTGCTCTCTGTTCAGGCTTTGGTGAATAAAGTCCATATTGCAGAAGAACCCTGCTTCAGTTTGGATCACAACTAACAGCCTTGGCAGAAAAAACAAGAGGGGAAGGACGTGGAGGCTGGACTGTCCTGGGGCCTGGAAGAGAAACCTGTGCTTGTGCAGGTTCAGAAGTGGTGGCTCTTTGGAAGAAGCAACAAAATCCAGTACATGAGCAAAGAAGACTGAAGACCCGCTGCTTTTTCTGTGGCTGCAGCTGCTATGTGAGCCTCCTCCAGTGCCCCCACTCCAGTTTTCTCTTTGGTGTGGTTGGCAGAGAGGTCCAAGAGCTCAGTTTACCACTCAGTTACACCAGTGCTGACCTGTCACTTCATAGAGTAATGAATCAGACCCTGAAAGTAGAACAGGGTCAACCTAACTGCTGTGTTCAGGAGCTTTTGCTCACGTTGTTGAAACGCGTCATGAGGCTGACGTACTTCTCCAATTGACTTTTGCAGTGACCACAGAGTAACATCGTTTAGAGACCTTGTTCATGCGCAGGAGGAGGATGATGAAGAGGAGGAGGGACAGCGGTAAGTTTTCAGTTAAAAACTGTGTGATGGCTTGCCACTTGTGTACAGTGTTTTTTTAAAAAGCAGATTTAAGTCGATACAAAATTCCTGTATTGAGAAATCTCAGATTTGACCCGGTAAGGTTGGTCAGTGCAAAGTCTGTACATGGCTGTATAAACACCAGTTTTCATTGCTGAATTGTGCTGTTGAAAGCCTAAAGTAGGATGTGGAAGCCCGAGGTTAAGAATAGGAAAAAGCCCAGATCATCAGTTATGTCCGTAGAGAACAGAAATGTGGGAATAATGCAGGGATTGCTTTTCTTTCTGCCTGGGTTTTGGGGGGGGGGTTGGCTGGGTGTTTTGGTTTGGTTTTTTTGTTTTGGTTTGGTTTTTTAAGTGCTGCTTAAGGGTAATGTAATGGAGTGTGGAGGTGGAAATTAAAATGTAGGTCCCCTTTCCAATGGGAACATGGTGTACTAGTGGGAAAGCTGTCTACGATGTCAGCTGTAAGTAGTTAAATACCCTTAAGGTTAACAGGCAAGGTAAATTGAATGGAACTGATGTATCTTAAGGTGGCTCAGTCTAGGTAGGCTGTGTGGTCTTCTGCAAACAGATGTGAGCTTGCTCTGTATGTGTTATGAGCCATCTGGAAGCTAATAAACCTGATCTTCCAGAAGTGCTTAATTGCACTTCACCGTGTGTTCATTGCTTCCCATTTAGATCTGTCCTGTGTGTGGTGATCTTTCAGTGTGGCACAGACATGTGCCTTCCCTCAAAATACCTGTTAGATGTTGCCCATTTTCTTCCATCTGACAGGTCAGAGACGTGCTGGAAGTCTTGTTCAGCATGGTAGTATAGCATTCGAAACTGAGCCTTGTCAGTCTGGACTGTTTCTCTTGCTAGGGCTGAGAGAGTTGTTATCACTTTATTCCTGTTGATCAATGGATAATTTTACAGGAACTTGTAAGTGGCTACAGGAGATCCACTGGTAGTAGCTAATATTTGTACATGCAAGTTGGACAAAAATGAACTGAATCCTGATATAAAACTGCTGGGTCCTGTCACGTGCGTCTCCTGGAGAAGCAGTGGTCCAGTCTTACCCAGAAGCCATGTGCTTTCTGTTAGGTTTTATGCCGGTGGCTCAGAGAGAAGTGGACAGCAGATCGTTGGTCCTCCGAGGAAGAAGAGTCCCAACGAACTGGTGGAGGATCTGTTCAAAGGAGCAAAGGAGCACGGTGCAGTGGCGGTTGATCGGACGGCCAAGAGCGGTGGCGAGACTAGCAAGCCTAAAGTGAGGAGTGTTGAGTTCTTCCTTCTGTTCCCTGTTTCACTTAAGGCTCCCACTGTGACAGCTGTTTGGTACTGTGGAGTCCTGGAATAACCTTAAAAGGGCAGCTAAGTCTGGACTTCTGTCTTAGTGCAGCTCCAATTCGTGTGTCACAGTGGCAAGAAAAGCAGCTTTCTTGTGCCGTATTTATTAACTTGTTCAAGCTGGTCACTGTGCCTGCAGGACAATAGATGTTGCTGATGCCGTGAAGCCCCCCTGTTCATCCATAACGTTGTTGGGGAAAGGGAAGCAAGCTGTCTTGGGTTTGTGTCACTCTATAACCTCGTTGCCTGTCCCTCTCTCTTGCAGCCTTTCGCAGGGGGAGGGTATCGCCTCGGGGCTACTCCAGAGGAGGAGTCTGCTTATGTGGCAGGAGAGAGGAGACAGAACTCTGCTCAGGACGTGAGTATCTCTCTGTTCTGTTTTATAGATGTCACCTGAGGGATTTCTCTGCTGTAGCTACACAGCTCGCAAGCCCTGAGAGTTATAAAGCTTGATAGAAATTCAAGAGGATGGAAGTATGGTAAATCCTGCTTCTCGTGGGATTCCTGATTAGAAAATAATAGATGCTTGGGTCTTGCGTAAGCAGTTTTTTGATGATCTTTTAATTAAGAATCTGAGTGTTCCTTAGAAGGGCAGATTGCGAAAAATAGTGCGCAAAGAGCACTGGGTAGTTAATGCTTCTTTATCCATTGAAGAGATGCGGAGCTAGCAGCATCAATGCAAGACTCTCTTGTGCTTGGCTTGTGAGCAAATACCCATCTAGGCTGTGGTGGGAGCTTGGTTTAGGCTCCTTGTCTAGCACGCTCTTGGGTCTTCAACCATATTTATCAGAAAGGGGTCTGTGGTGCCACCCTCTAGCAATTGATGCATGAGTGCTTTGGGTTTTTGCCTCAGCCCAGAGGAACCTGGCTGGAACATTTTGTGCACCTTGAAATTCCTCTGCTGGTCAGGAACTTTTCACTTTGCGTCCGGTTATTGTTCTTACTAAGATGCTTCAGTGAGGCTGACTGTTGTTTGTGGGCTGCTGCAGGTGCATGTTGTACTGAAGCTCTGGAAGAGTGGATTCAGTCTGGATAGCGGAGAACTGAGGAGCTACCAGGATCCGTCCAATGCCCAGTTTCTTGATGATATCCGCAGAGGGTATGTAGCGAGAAGGGAGAGAAAGAATAGCTGTTTTCTGAAACACAAGCCTTTGTGGAATCCAGGATGCTGAATCAATGGCACATTTCACCTGAGCTTTCTTAAAAGAGCTAGATTCTTAATGTGGAAACTATGGGAGGGCAGATTTGAACATTTACTTCAAATAAGTGGGAAGTGGCTTTGGTTTGTGTGGGGCCTTGAGAGTTTGAAGTGAAGACTTTCGTATTTGGGCTGAGGATTTCTGTTGCATCGTGTCACTCCAGGTGAGGGCCAGGGAAAAGTAACCTTTAATTTGTGTCTGTTAGTGGGGAGGTGTGCATCTGCCCTGTTAATTAAGCAAGGGCTCACCGTGATTCCTGAAATTCTAGAGGGCTGTGGCTGGCACTTTTTCTCTGCACTTTCTTGACTTGCTTCTTCAGGCAGCTGCCTTAGGACACTCTCTTTGCAGGGAAGTCCCGGCAGAGCTGCGCAGGTTAGCACGGGGTGGACAAGTGAACCTGGATATGGAGGATCACCGTGATGAGGAGTATGTGAAACCTAAAAGTGTCTTCAAAGCTTTTACTGGAGAAGGACAGAAGCTGGGCAGGTAAGAAGACAGCAGCGCTGGTTTGCTATGTGTGTGATGTGAGAGAGTCACTTTGAGAGTTTTGCTGGGTTGAGCCTTTTGATTCATCTTTCTGAAGAAAAGGCACTTGGTACCTGCAGTGTGTGAGGTGTTCCTCTAAGAGAGGAAACTAGGTTTACTGGCGTGTACTGTGAGATGGCTCAGCCTTTCTGTGGCAGGAGGCGGATCCCTGGTTTGGAACCACCATGACATGTCACATAGAAGCAGTGTTTCCAAGTTACACTGCCCCTGTTCCTGTGGGTGTGTGAAGACCTGTGATGCAGTGCTGCAGAGGGAGATGGCAGAGGTGAAGTCCTAGACAAGTTCCTGCTGACTAGCAGACTCCTAAATTCTCAATTCCAACTTGCATTGGTGTCTCTTGACTAGGAACCCTGGTAGTTGGGCCCAGCAGGCGATAAGCTCACTGCCTGACTCCTGGCACCCTGCAGCCAGGTGAGTCATTTGGTTTTAACAGCTCGCCTTGTGTCTCCCTGTTCTCAGCACTGTGCCCCAGGTGATGGGCACCAGCTCACCAGCCCAGCAGGCAGAGAATGAAGCCAAAGCCAGTTCTGCCATCGCTATTGATGAGTCGGAGCCCATCACCAACATCCAAATCCGGCTTGCTGATGGTGGGCGACTGGTCCAGAAGTTTAACCACAATCACAGGTACAAACGCGACAGGAAACACAGGTTACTAATTGGGAAGGCCCGAATGACACTGCAAACTGCACAGGTGGAGCAGATGTTAAAATCCTGGCTAGCCTGCTAAAGGGAGCTCTGGGGATCCTTCTATATAGGTGAATAGGAATAAAGTTATTGTGGGGTCTTAAGGCAGTCGTTAACTGTTGGAAGGGTAGGATTTGCTTTCCAAATAGTGATTAGTGATAGATTATAGCCAGTGATACTGCACCTGGGACCTTCAGTATTATCAGCAGAATTCTTCTTAACGTCACCTATAAAAAGCTGAATCTCTTCTAAGGGCTTTAGCAACTGTCAGATAATTAGGAACTTGGTTTAGTTATTCTGACTCTCAGTTCAGACTTTTCTACTGGGCTGTTCCCTGGGCTGAATGGAGCACCAAGGAGTGCTCTTACAGCAGTTCAGTTCCCTTGGACAAGTAAAGGTGGCTTATATACCCTGCTGCTTCGTTAGACTTCTCTCCCGAAGTCCTTCTCACCTACTTGATCTCAGAGAGTGTGGCCATTTGTTTATACTCATTCCTCCAGTTTCTAGAAGAGAATCAAGCATGATGCAAAAAGTTACAAAAACCTTCTTCTACAATCGGGTGCAGGAAATAGATCCAGTGTCACTGTTTTGGCTGCTCTTGGGAGTTGAGATCATCTAGATTTATGCTGCGTGTGATGAGCTCAGTCACTTATAGCAGCTAGTGTCAAGCAATTTGTTAATCTGTTCATGTTGAAGGATTCAGAAGCTTTCAATTTCAACTAGTCACCTGACAACACAAACATTCCCATTGGGCAGTGTAAAAGAACATCTAGGTGTAAGTCTTTAGCTTATAAAGCAGCTTGTGTTATTTTCACTGAATGGGAACCTACGGAGGAGTAGGTTAAATCAGAATTGTCTGGCTGTGGCCTCTACTGTTAGCTGAAAAACAAGAGCAGCGACTGCAGGGTTGCATGCTCTGGAAAGGGTGAATTTAGGCTGTTGCCATGCGTTTTTTACAGGATATTTAGTAACAGGATCACCCTTGTGTGTTTGATCCCTTTGGACAGGATCCGTGACATCCGACTCTTCATAGTAGATGCTCGGCCAGCAATGGCTGCCACCAGTTTCGTCCTCATGACCACCTTCCCAAATAAAGAGCTGACTGATGAGAACCAAACCCTGAAGGAAGCCAACCTGCTCAATGCTGTCATTGTTCAGCGGTTAACATAAAGGAACCCACCTCTCGCCACACGCCTGCCTGCAGCGCGCATGTGTCGTCTCGTCCTGTGTGTGCACCTGTGCTGTGCAACACGGGCTCACATCTACTCGTAGCTCTGGGTTCTTAGGTCTTGGTTGGACTTTTTTTCTCTTTAGTTGCATTTCCCATGGTTTTTTTTTGTTTTTTGTTTTTTTTGTGATGATGATCAGTGGACTTCAAAATAAATAAATGAAACGAATCCATTTTGAAAGGAGCTGCAGCCTATTGTGCCACAAATTCTCCCACGAGAGTTCAGTTACCTTTGTGGATTGCGTTAATGCGCTCTTTAGAGGGGAGGAAGGTGAGGGGGAAGGGAGGTCCCAGGGAGCAGTTTCTGACCATTGCCAACTGACTGCTCATCACAATCTTTTTGCTCTTCCCTCTCCTCCAGGGACTGCTGCAAAGTACTCCCTTTGTTTTCACACATTAAATACAAACTATATGAGAATGGGTGATCTGATTGTCAGGATAATGGTTACATTACTGTAAAAGCATAGTGGGGGAAGTTTTGTGAAACAGCTGTTGCTCAGTGTGGGGAAAACTGATGTGTGTGTGCAGGTGCAAGGTTTAACACTCTTCTTGGGCTTTTCTGGAGAGAAAGTCCTGACTTCCCTTCCCTCAGCAGAACTCTTAGGGGCATTCACTGCAGTACCCACCTGCTCTGCCTGCACTTTCTGCAGCAGTCCAGACTGACTGCAGTTCTAATTTGCTGTATTGCATTTCTCTGAGAAACCCTGCTGCTGACTTTTTCTTTCCAAGAAGGCACAAAGCTCAATCAGCTTGAAGTGACTGAAAGGGCAAACAGAGTCTGTCTTACTGGAAAGCAAGTTTTATTTTAAGAGGTGAATTATTGAGAGGATGGAAGCAGCTCAGGTGGAAAAACTCAAGGCTGTAGTACCCTTTGATTTATTTCCTCTCCTCTGCTGAGGACTAACATAACTGAACACCTGGAATTCTCCAGCTTTGGTCTGTTCTGCTGTTAATGTTTTGGGCTCAGGTCTCCATATTTTATTTTCCTTTGAACAGAATCCTGCAGGTGAATTTGTTATGCCTAGACATGAGGGACTGGTAGCTCTGGTGTAGCGTCACGCGCACGAGTTGCCATATAGCGTTGTGCCACGGCACTTTGCACCGACCCACAGCATGCTTGCTATCCTAAGCCCTGGGCTTCGGTGCAGAACTCGGAGCTGTGCTGAACAGTGGGCCTCCAGACATCGGCTAACTGGGAGCTGCCCTGCGCCCAGCGGTATCCCTTTGAGAGAGGCTGGATTGCTGCCGTGCGAAGGGTTGGAGCACGCCATCCGCTTCCTGCCTTAGTCACGCTGGAGCCCTGCGGCTGCTGTTGTGCTGTAAGTCCACCCCCCTCATCACTCTGAAGCTTCCAGGTCCTCACCTTGGTGCGAGCAGAGAACAAGCTGTAGGGAAGTGCAGGCTGGGGGAGGGCCAGCAGGTTGGACAGGTTCAGCATGAGAAACTCGCTTGGCTGGCTGTATTAATACAAAACTGTGGGAGTAGATACCAGACCTTAGCAAGGGCATTTTTACAACAGTTTCTCAACTGAGAGCTGAATTAACTTACATTTTTCATTACTAAATGGATATATAATGTGCGTAACAACAAATTTGTAAATTATTGTGAAAATTACCATTAAAAGGCCGCAAAATAGGAAAACAGCGTTTGACCCTTTCTAATAGTGGCTACCATCTGTTCTCATATTTTGGATGATGTGCATGCGGATGTCTACTCTTACTGCTTTGGGTTGCTCTGCAAGCAGGCTTCCCAGTGCTGAGCTGTCTTCAGCTAAATGAGATTAAAAATCTCAGCAGCATTTTTAAAGATCTTTTCTGACAGGTGAACTTGGGGTTTGCCTGCCTGCATCACTTGATGTTGCATATTATGACCACTTAGTAAACTCTATGAAACAGTCCAGAGAGAATTCAGAAAGGTAATTTCCCTCAGACCTAAATATAGCCACAACTGTCTTGTGCGAAGTCACTCATTTTAATTGCTCATCAGAGGATGTTCTTGTATCGTGATCTTTTCCACATGTGCCATTTTGGGGACCTGGGACAACACCTTCCAGAGTCTGGCCAGCATGCGCCCCTAGAGCCAGAAAGAAAGTTTATCTAACAGAAGGAGTACAAATTACTTGTCTCCTGCTTCTGCCTTGCTAAGCCAGTGGCATCAGAGGACTGAGGTGGTGACTAGCTGGTGTCCATAGTCTTTGGCTGGATGAGCTGGACACGTTGGTGCCCCCAAATTAAATGAGGGTTGGCAGCTAGACAGCAGCTCATCTAGCTGCTGACCTCAAGGGTTCTGCTTGCCGATGGGAAGTTTCATATCCAGGTTTCCTCCCAGCTCTCTCCTTGCCAGTGGCATGGAAAGGTGATAAATTCAGTGGGGCACTGGGCTCAGAGACGCTTCTGTGCTAGGAAAAGCGAATTTTCCCCCTGAGCCGGAGGGTGGCAGTACTGCAGAGAAGCCACTCTCCACCCTGAAGACTCCAGCTGAGAAATTCTGCCAGCTCCTGCTGTGTGCAGGAGCTGCACCTTGTGCTGCTGTGTGTCTGTGAGCCCTTCTGGGATACCGCTGCCGACTCATCCTTCCTCTGGTTCTTTTCTTGGTTTTTGTTTTTGTAAGTAATGAGCAGTCCTTATCTCCTGGTGAGCAGGATCAGCTCTGCCCTGCCGCCAGGCTATCTGAAGTGTGCCGGAGTGGAGCACTGAAGTGATATCCAAGATAGGCGTGTCTTCTTCCAAAGTTGACAAAAGAGCCTGTAGGACAAACTGGAAGCAATGTACATGCAATCTCCTGTATGTAACTGTCGTCTTCTGGGAGCTGGTGGAACATTTCACTATAAAATAAGCTATAAAGCAAAAATGACAGCCAAGCTAATTAACGGGGAAGGGATAAAAAAAAACCAAACAGGAAAAAGGTGGGTAGTGGAAGGAGACACCTTGATTTTGTAATGAAAATCACCTTCCTTGTCACTTGTGCAGCTCTTTGGTGTTTGCCATGCCCCTGCAGGAAGGTAAATGCTCATTTCTGACACTCCTATAGTTTGTGATGGTTGTTAGCAAGCTTATTGGACTTTAATAAAATCCCCTTCCTTTATCATTCCATTTCTTTGTTCTAACAGAGTCATAGTCTGAGATTGGACTTTTCTAAAACTGACATTTACGCCTGTGGAAAAAGTGTCTTTTTCTCCTTGCCCAGAGAAGTGTTTCACTTTGAAATTTTCCTTTTTTCTCTGATCGTTCCCTTCACAGGGGAGTCTTGCCTGTCTTCCTGGTCTTTCACACACTGGTGCTAAGGCAGTGCTCCACATCTCATGTGAAAACTCGCTTCTTTTCAATTTCTGTATGATAAGGTACAGCCCAGCTTTACAACTGTGCTGTGCTGTCTGGGGCTGATGTCTTTCACTGTATCAGCGTGTTTTTCTCCAAGTGCTGTAGTTTAACGGTTTTCTCTTCCTCAGATAGGTAATTGTGAGACTTGGATTTTTTTTCCTTTGTATGCAGTTCATTGTTTCCTCTTCTTCCTTTTCACATGTCCTCGTTGCTAAGATTTAGTTCCTGTGTTTTCTGATAGCGTTTTGCACCATTTCCTGGGAATTTTACCTCCCTTCTGTAATGCTGCTTTTGCCATGGGATGTTTCCTGGTCCATGTTTCTTGCATGGTCAGTGGTCTGCTTGCCTCAGGAGGTTCTGCTATCCCAGTGCCTTTGGTCAAGTAGTTTTTCAGTGATCCTGGTGTAGGAACATCCATTTCTAGGTGTAGCTGTACCTTCAGCTGCCTGTTGAGGTAAAACAATGTTAACAGCACAAAGCAGCTAGTTGGTTGGCTTGTTTTGGCACAAAACTCAGGTAGCTCAGCCAGCAGATAAATGGAAGCAGCGACAACAGATAGGGAGCAAGAAATCTCAGTGGGTACACCTGCAGCTACAAGAGGATGACTGTAAATTTTGGCCTAATTTTTTTTTTCTTGTTGCCTTTGGTTATAATCAGTTATATTTAATTTAGTCTTTGCTCCTTATTGCTGGACAACACTAATTCTTTCCAGAAGGAGAAAGTGACCTTCATGCCATGGCTGCTTCTTGGGTGGGTCTTCAGCTCTCTGGTGTCTTTATTTAGAGGAATGATTAAAAGGATGTCATTGTGCTCCTGGGATGCTCCTCGGAAGTTCAGTCAGGAGGGTTTTCTTTTGAAAGCAGCACTGCTTTACAGATCCTTTGTTATCAAGAAAAAGGACCTTGAGTTGATGTTTCTTCTGACCCTGTAGCTACAGCAGAAAACTGGCTTAGGGGATTGTTGTCATAGTCATGTAGAACAAGATGCTTATGGGTTTCTTCAAAGCCCACCACCACGAGGGGAGGACCTGTGATACCTGCGTTAATCCTTGGGCAGGAGCTGGCATCTCTTCAGAAGTTTGCTGTTCTAGGTAAGCCTGTGTGAAGAACTGCTACGTTGTGAAAGCAAGAGTGCGCTACCCCCTTACCACTTCTAAATGGTCTTGTTTCTATTGGTGAACCAGAATGTTTATAGATGGAGACTGGTAATTTTAAATGACAGATTCAATTAAGCAACAAAGTTGTTTTTCTTATCAGGTTGTGGGTTTCCATTGCCACTTGTATGATAAACAACTGCCAAGGAAGTGTGTCCGACAGTCACTTGAGGCAGAGCTGGGAAGCTGGAGCCTGCGGTTCTTGGCCATGCCTGCTGCCAGGTGTGCTTTTCTGGTGACCCAGCTGCATCCCCGATGAAAGAAAAGCCTTTCAGCTCCTCTTACGCTTGGAGACTCAGACCAGGCTTCTCCAAGCCATGTGCTTCTGTACCTGTCCTTCAGGCACAGCAGCAATGAATGTATGCATCAGTGCTCTGCCTGGTGCAAAGGGAATTAGCCATTGCATGTACACTGGCTTGCTGAATTGTGCAGAGCTGGGTCTCCTCACCTACAGTCCTTGTTAATGAGGTGTGATCACCGTGCCAGCTTTTGTGGTGTGTTTTAGGCAGGTTTACTTTAGGAAGGAAAAGAGCCTAAAGCTAGTTGATGAGAGTTCAGCTGCAAGTCTCCTTCTTGCTCTGGTAAATAATGCACATGCTGTACCACGTGGCATAAACATACACAGCAGGCACGATGGCGGTGAGTGGCTCTGGGAGCTGGTGGAGTGTGTGTCACTGCAGACTGCTTGGGGACTTTCATATGTTGGCTGCTGCCAAAGTGCTAAGTGGGCTCCTACAGCAACACTGATGGAACAAGTAAGCAGCAAACGCACACTGTCTAAACCAAAACTGTAGCAGCTTATTGCAGCTGCTGGCCAGGTGATTGGGCTGGCTGTCAGCAAGGATCCTGCAGAGTTCAACAGAAAGAGGAAGATAAATCCTTTCTAGTTACCTGTTAGCAAAAGTTTTTCCAAACAAGTCCCACGTTTCCCAATTACACACTTCTACAGAGAGTAGTATAATAGTAATTATGCAACAGGCCCACATCTTTGGCAGTTGAACAGCTCCTGTGTCAAGCACCTCTCGATTTACTAATTTATCATTTTCTGACTTATTTACTACATTCCTAAATGCTTATCTTATTTGCTGTTCTGTCTTGTCTGCACTGAGCCTGTCTGTCCCAGCGCTGGGAGTTCCTGAATAGATTCCAGATGTTCTTATTTACTCAGGTACATTTCATGACTCTTCATTAAATTAACTCTTTATTGGCTTACAGGGCCTACAGTAGCAACAGCCCTTCCTCTCTTTTCTCATCCATCTTGGTGGCTGTTGAAGTCACGACTCCTGTTCCACCAAGAGAAGGCAGCTGTGCTAAGGGGAACATGAGAGCCGCTGGCTGTGCTTAGAGCAGTCAAGGAGGGGTAAACCTTCAGAGGACTTGCTAGTGGAACGTATCCAAATGCTGCCACTTGCTTCTGTGCCAAAAAATTCCCATTTGCTGGCTTTAGACTTCTTTTTTTTTTTTTTTTTTTTTTTCCATGGGGCTCCCTTGCCTGAGCCACCCGTCTCTAGGTCATAGTACCCTGAGAAAAGCTGTTCAGCTAGCATGGCTTGGAGTTGTTTGTATCATGCATTCCTGGGCCCTGGGCTGCCTTGAGAGATAAGATCTCATGCTTCTGCAGCGGAGAAGGGGGTTCTGGGGAGGGACCTTTCCTTTGCAGTCAGTCAACTCCAACATGACCTTGTTTCTTAAACTGCAAAGCTTTGGCTTCTCTGAGCCTTTTGCTGAGTATTTGCGCAACAGAAAAATGGCTGTAGCTGGAGTGTTGCTGAGTGCTTTCCTTATTCTTTCAAAACCTATTTCTAAGCAATTGATAGCAAAAGATCAGTGTAGTGATGGAAGAGGCATTGTCCTTTTGTTCCAGACCCTTGGTGTGCGCAGTGTACAGTGAGCTGGTTTGGTTGGATTTCAGGCCTTGGCACAAGGTGTTATTAGAAAGCTCATTGCTTGCAGCAAGTAGCCCAGTGTATAGCAGTGATTAATACTGAGATTGGTGCTTTTCATTGAAATCTGCCTTTCCAGCACAAAGCTGAACCCCGCTCTTGTGCAGAGGGCTGAGAGCTCCCCATGCTGCACTAGCAATCGTGACATCCTGTCTAGAGCCAACGGGCGATGCTGTCTTCTGTAAGGCACTGAGCAACATGACAAAAGCCTTTGGGAGGATCTGAGAGAGCAGAAATAAAGCTTTCCTGTGTTGAAGATAATTGTGCACTGAACTAGCCAGGGAGCGAGAGCTACACAGCTACTCTGGGAGGTAACTGTTGGTCATCTGTTGGCTTTCTAGTCTGTGAGCAGAAAATGCAGCTATTTGTACCTGGAGAGTAAATGAGTGCCAAAGAGCCAGAGGATTAAGTGCTGAGTACAATTTCCAAAGGTATCTTGTGTCTGTGCAAACGTAATTGTGTGTGATGAGTGGGTACAAAATGGCCTAGAAAAAAAATAAAAATCAGTTTTTTATATTTCCTTTTGAGTTTCCCCTTTCCTCTTGGGTGGGGAGAGATGTATTTTGCTTTCTTATAGAGATGTATGCTTAGATATGCTGGTGGGAGACAGGGATTTGGCTCCCACTGCACTGGCTGTGGTCCAGCGTGAGTGATATTTGTTATCTGGGATGTCAGTAAAATAGCAGTGAAGAGAGATGCTGCTGACTCAGTTGTACTGTGGCTTATTAACCAAGTTCTGACTCAGCCTGCAAAATTCAAGGGTTTTTTTAGATTAACCCCCACTGGACAAGGCAAGGCTGGGCTGAAGATGACACATTTTTCTAACAGTGTTGTGATGAACCTTGCAGAATGAGTGCCTGTGTTCTCCTTGGGTATGGGTGGTGGTACAGAGACACTAACATGGGTTTAACACACCCAGTGGGTCCTGGCAACCTGGGAGGAGAGCAGGGAGAAGGTTTTGCCTGTGGTGTTCTGCCCCAGCTGCTGCATATGAGTTCGGTTTCGGAGACTGAGTTTGATCTAGCTAGAGAAGCCTGTTTTTAAAGAGCTGCCTGATGAGACTAGATGTGCCAAGCAGATGATTAGCGGGCAGAGTGGCAGTGCGATCCCTTTCCTGCCAGCCTTTTGCTGTGTGCCTTCTGTCCTCTGAAGCCAATTTCTCCCTCTGCCTTTGCTTTGCCAAGTGCTTGTAACAGTGACGGGCTGCGTGCTGTGAGCACCGCTGCCTTGGGAGCTCAGCTGCTCCCACACAGCCAGCGCTGAGTAACTGGGCTCCTACCGCTCTTAATGTGGGAGTAATTTTTGGTTTGTGATACTGAGACTGCTCGGCTCTATGGGCTGTGAAGGGTCTGTGAAAGGGGACTAAGAAAAGCACGTTTCTTGTCACCACACTAAAACATACTGTGTGGGGTCTGCATTGCCATGGAAGATCTCTCAGGAGCTCACAGACTGAAAGAGGTTGATAATTGCAGATCTCCCTTAACAGAGAAAGGAAAATGTATCCCATGCCTCCTACTCTCACTGACATTGTCCTGGGCTAGGGCTGTGCCAACACCTTGCGCTCATTAAGGAGAGGGCAAAGTAAAGGGGCAGGGGCTTTCCACAGCCCTGAAAAAGGAGCCAGAGCTGGGCTCCTGGTCTTCCTGGGCTGCCTTGGGAGAGAGGGGCTTTGCCAGGGAGTGACCCGGGGCAAGAACCTGCCTGTCCTGCTGCCTGCTCCCTGGCTGCTCCAGCCACTTTGGTTGTCCGCTCCAGGTTTCGCACGCTGGTTCTTTGCAGCTGTTGGTTGCTGGTGGCGAGGCGGGAGTCCTGGGGTGGCTCAAGAGTGTTCCTGCGGTGGTCTGGAGCTCAGGCAAAGGACTTCTCCACACCCCTAACATCTCAGTGTGGCAGCAGCAGCTCTGGGATGGGGAGGAAGCACTGGACCCAACTTCACCTTTGAAGAGCATCAGATTTATCCGCTGGACTGCAGAGAGCCTGGAAGCTACTGCCCCAAGTACTTGCTGCACTGTGAGCCCTGCCAGATTTCCTGCCTCCATGGGCAGGGTCTGGCCACGCTCCTCCTACAGGGCCGGTCATTTCTCCTCCATCAGCTCCCTGTGGGTCCCCACAGATGTTGTATTTTCACTTGTCAAATCTCCACCTAGCTCTGATCTGCGCCTGCGGTGTGCTCTTTGACGTACAAGGCAACTTCTTCCTCATCCTGGGTAAGGAAGCTTCTGTTTCCCCACCACGTGCCGCTGAAGGACACGGTCATGTCTGCAGTCATGCTTCCAAGTGGTAACGAAGATGCTGAGCTGCACAGGTTAACCCAAGAAGGAGCAATCCCACAGAGGAGAGTGGTCTGCAGAACGGTAAGACCAGTGTCCTAGGGTGGTTTTTTTGTCACATGCAGAAATGCATTTCACATGTGCACACTAAACCTCACAAGTGCGCACACCCACACAGAGCCTACCCGGATCGAGCAGCCGCAGGCTGTGGGGGTGTTTCGAAGTGTTTATGACTCAAGCTCAAGAACACATTGTTAAAGCAAGGCTCTGCATTTTGTTGTTGTTGCTGACTTTCAAGTGAAGTAGGCAGAGACGTGCAGAGTGCTGTCCTACCTGCTGAGAGCATAAAGGGAACAAAAGCTGCCACAAAACCTTACAGCCAAGAGAGATGCCTTTGTAATTTTAGAAACAGAACTGCTGTGGAAACAATATGTTGTGTGAGTAAGTGCTCCTCGGTGGTGGTACAAGCCTAATGCTTCAGCCATCCCTGCAGGACAAGGTTGGTCTGCAATTTGAAATACAAGGGACCTGACTCTCGCTGTGTGCTGTAAAAGGCAGAAAGTAAAGTGGGACCAGAAGCTGAGAGGCACAAGCAGGCTGCTGTGGTTACCTGGCACAGGGAAAGCAGGCCCTCTGCTCCCCTGGATGTGCAGGAAGAGGCTGGGCCCTCCAGCCTGGTGGGCACAGCAGCGTCAGTGGTTTTTCCATGGCGTGGGCTGTGGAGGAGTTACTGCTAATCGCTGCATGAGGGAAACGCGCTCAGTGCCTTCTGGAATGCTGCTTTTTGGGATTGTGCCTCTGTTTTCAGAAGCTGCTCCCTAGTACCGTTACAATGAAGGTCTGTCATCCCTCAAGGGTGACTGTCAACTCAACTGATGTTAGCGGCACAGCAAGCCATCTCCAGCCCAAACAGACGGGGGAACCAACCAGCAGGTTGCCACCTCATCCCACAGGAGATGAGGGCAAGTGAGAGTTTGAAGCAATCCCCAACTTGATTTCCCTGTTACCCAGCTGTCGATGTGACCCTGCAGTCTGTCCTGAGCTCAGGCCAGCCTCTTGCACAGCTGCCTCCATGCCAAGTGTTCATCCCTCCTCACTCCCTGCTCTTCTGCAGAGCTCTTCCTGGAGGAGCTCGCAGCCTTTTATAGCCATGTCTGGACCAGGCGCTTTGCCTGGGATGGCCGTCTGCCCCGTGTGAGCCGGGGAGCCTTCTGCATCTTTCCAGAAAGGGCTGTGTATTTTTTGGTTGCAGGACAGCAACCCACCTGCTGCACTCCGAGCTGCGCTGGAGCTGCTCAGTGATCGAGCAAGCCAAAACGTGGTGTAGACCAGGAACCCAAGATGCTGACAAGCGTGTTAGTGTGTTAGCCCCAAGCAAGCTGCCCCATCCAAGGCAGCCTGTGCTGAGATGGGAGGTCAGCCCCAGTCTCCAGGCCTCTGCTTTCTATGTGGTCTTACCCCATATTCTGCAGTATACTCTTGGTCTTGTGTGATGTAGAGGTGTATCGTGCTAGACAGCAAGTTCATTTCAGGGCTGTGAGGAAGTCAGTGCTGTAGGTTGCCTCTGGGAACTTGCCAGGTACTTGAGGCTTGGTACAGTATTTACTAAAGCTAACCACATCCAAATAAAATAGAGGCTTTGCCATCAGCCCTTTTCCTGTGCGCTGAAACGCTCCTTGTGCTTCCCCTGTTGATCTATAGAAATCCTCTGGGTTCTGGCCTTTGCAGTCTCTCTTCTTGGACTGCCTGCGTTACAGTCACTTTAAGCCTGATGCAGTTTGTACTTTTTAATATTAAAGACCTTGAACCACTGAATTGTGGCTCAATAGAATAGGAAAGGGCAACGTTAGACCAGCTCAGCTGATAGCTCTGTCTCTGGCATTAGATACGCATCTCATTTACGTTAGCAGTCTGTGATCTCATGCAAACATGCCTCTGAGGAGAATCAAGGTGAAATGCCAGGGATGTGGCCCTGGTGACACGACAAGCTCAAGACAAGCAAATGAGACAGATGGCTGCTGATCAGCTCTTGCCTTGGGGCTTTGGCTGGTCAAGGAGGGGATGAGGGCTGGAGCAAGGAGACAGACTGTCGGCATGCCCAACCCCTCGAAACTGCTGTGCAAGAGACCCTGAAGACTTATGAAGAATATGAAACACCACTGAGCAGGACCTCAGGAGCCAGGCTGCTGCCCAAGGGCAGGTCGTGTGTAGGAAGCACTGCACCCTGACCCACCAAAATTACCAGCAGATGGGGAAGCACCCTACAGCACCCCAATTGCCATGACCACCTTGCTTGTCTGTATCAGGTGGAGTGATGTCCAGCCAAAGGACAGGTATGTGTGTCATGGGTGAGTGTGTGTGGGGGTTATGATATGACTCAAGGTTTAAATGGGCCTCGGAGAACCCAGCGGTTGGGATAAGCAGTGGCTGGAGGTTAGCTGTCAGCCAGAGGTGCGTATCATTTCTCAGGTGGGTTTGTTCCCTGGTGTCTCGACTGCAGGAGAAGCCAGGACTGCCACTCTGCAGAAAGGTTTGCTATGCTGTTGGGGGCATTCCCTACCAGATGACAGGCAACGCCCTTGGGTTTTTCCTCCAAATCTTCCTATTGGATGTTGTGCAGGTGAGTGGCCACATGAGATGGGGTTATCTGCAAATGGGCTTAGCATAAGGTCAGCAGACTGGGGTGAGGGTAGAGTTTGGTGGGTAGCCAAAGCACTTGGAAATGCTCATCAGAATTAGGCATTCAAACTGGATCAAAATTTCATGATGTAAGCATTGGTGGTGGGCGTGCAGGAGATGTTTCCGTGCCATTTCAATGCTTGGAGTGGTCTCCAGGGGATGCAGATGAAATGTTGGCTAGAGCGAGCTGCATCATGCTGACTGCTCGCAGCTTTTCGCCAGGACTTCTTTCCCTTTCAAGCTGTGGTTTCCATTTCCCCCCAGCTGGAGCCATTCCATGTCTCTTTGATCATTTTCCTTGGAAGAGCCTGGGATGCAGTTACTGACCCTGCTGTTGGCTTCCTGGTCAGCAAGAGCCCAAGGAGAAAATATGGCAAGCTGGTCCCATGGTGAGTGTCTGGGCTGGAGCCTCAGGATGGTCTTTGGACTCAAATTCCTTCAGTGCTAGCACAAGGAGACAGCTGGGATGTCTCACTGGGAGTTTAATGTGATTGTGGCTTACGGAGAATTACAAAACTTTAACATCACAAGGACACTAAAGATAACATAACTTGCAGTGGGGTCCATATGTCATTGCAATGAAAAAGGAGGAATGTACTGCAAACTGGAACGCTTGCTGTTTCTCTGGGGCCTTGAGTTTTTGAGGCTGTGGGGTTTGGTGCTCTGAGAGTCCTGTGTGGTGGCATATACAGAGTTTAGTAGTCAGCTGTGCCATGAGCTCTCCACCAGGCTCTAACCACGGGCAGATCTTGCATGTAAGAGGGGTACCGCTGCCCCAAGGTTCTGCTGCAGGGCAAGGACTTGAAGTAATTAAGAGAATAAGAAATATTGGACAACTTAGACATTAGTTTTTCTCTCAGTGTTTGTGTTTAGCCCCTTCAGCCTGACTGATGGACACTCAGTGGAGCAAAGCTGCTTCCTCGCACAGATCTTGATCTTGCAGTAGCTGGGCTGTTGTCTGGAAGCTAGGGAAGAGGTTGTGCTACATAGCTCAGCTTGTGCAATGAGAAGCGTGACCACCTTATCTGAGGGTTGCATCTGACCAGCTCTTCTTCCTCCCCAGGATCGCATGCTCCATGCCATTTGGGGTGGTCTGCTACTGCATGATGTGGTCCACTCTCTCGGATGCCACCCCCACCTCCCTGAAATTCCTGTGGTACCTGTTGATGTACAGCTTCTTCCAGACTTGCATGACTGTAAGGAACATGGTGCCGCCTGGGGCTGACTGTCTTACACACCATCCTATATGGCAAGGGACAGGGGCACGGTCAGCTGGGGAGTCCCAGCCGCTGCAGGAAGGGACCTGGAGCAGAGTCTAGGAGAGCTCTAGCTGAAGAGCAGTGAGGGATGCAGGATGCGCAGACCATCCCTGCAGGGATGGTGAGATGGGGTGGTGCATTTTAATGCTGGGGATTTGGGTGGGCTGCCTGTATATGGTGATGCAAACTTCTCCATCACTGTATTGTGGGAGCAGAGCAAATCACAGAAGAAGAGGGTGAAAAGCCACCTGTGTGCAGGGGTGGCACAGAAGGCAACATTATCTGCTGTGTGTAGGGACGAGGGGGGTCATGACCAGCAAATCAGGGAAGCAGCAGCTGGAGCTGTGTTTGAACTGTGCTCTCCTTAGTGCCACCACGTGCCGTACTCTTCCCTGACAATGTTCCTGGGAGGAACCCAAAGAGACCGTGACTCGGCCACTGCCTACAGTAAGTATCTGTGCCCCTACAACCCCAGTCTGCCTGCATTCCTGGGAGACCCTCCCTGGAGTAGAGGTGAATAAGTTCCTCTCTCTGGCTCTGAACAGGCTGCAGAGTGGATAGGATAAACCAGGGATATGAAACCAGTCATCTTCTGCAAAGAATTTACCTGCAGAAACATTTCTTAGATCTGTATCATCCCTAGGGGACTCAGAACCCAGATTTATTAGTTCCAAATATTAGAGCATTTACTGCTGGAGCTAAGGGAAAAAATCAGAGCAGGTAGAAATAGCAGGTCTCTTCTGGGGCAGCTCTGGATGTGGGTACCTCCAATTCCATTGCCAAAGCTGGTTTCTTACCCTGAGGGATGTGTCCCATCAGCCAGGGAGTGGGACTGAGGTTTCTCTCCTGGTCATCCTGGCAGGAATGGGGATGGAGGTGTTCAGCACGCTTCTTGGGTCAGGAATCCAGGGGCAGATTGTGGGCAGCTACCATGCTCGCATGATGAACAGCTGTTACGTGTCAAATGAGACCCTGCCCAACACCAGCACCTACAGCCTCACGGACTCGCTGGAGAACATTGTAAGGGCTGGCCTGTCTGCCCTGCTCCTCCCGTAAGCTCTGGGGCCGGCTCCGCTGGCTGTGCTGCCAGCTCTGTGTGTGTTACCCGCATTGTCACTGTGCACTGTCTCTCATTTTCCAGCGTAGGGCCTATGTATTTGCATCCCTGGTCCTGGGATCAATCTATTGCCTGTCCTGTCTGATTCTCATCTTCGGAGTCAGGGAAGAGCCTGGTAAGGTCCATTTAGCTGCAGTTTGGAGGGTTCCCAGTGGCAGCGGATGGTGAGGATGGGGTTGCAGAGGAAGGTGTGAGGCAGAGGGAGCTGGGCACCTATGTGGGGATGGTTCTCTGGGTGTGGAGCTCAGAAACACAGCACATACTTGGATACTGAGACCCTCCTCAGTTTGTGCTGGCATCATCTTGATACCGCAGAGGAGAGGGGAGATGCTCTGGAGGAAGGAAGGCTCCAGCTGCCTGGGAGATCCTGTGGGGAGCCGTGGGCCTGGGACAGGGTCCGCAGCTCACTGCTTCACATGGAGCAGGTCTCGCCAACACACAACCTGCAGAGCTACGCAGGCCAGCCCGAGTGCGCAGTGCAAAGAGGCAAAATCCTGCCTGTAGTTGACACCACGGCTGTTGTCTCTGCACCAAGACATCAGACTCCGACAGATCCTCACCCAGCTGAGCTGCACCCCAGACGTAGCGGTGCAATCCCCCTGTGCGTCCCACCCCATCATGTTTGTTCTGGCAGCTCCAGTGCTAGCCCTGCTCTCTCTCCTCTCAGGGCCCCTCAGCCCCCTGGGGAAGGTTGAGCTGCCCTTTGCCAGCTGCCTGAGGATGATTGTGGGACACAAGCCCTACACCCAACTGCTGTGTGGCTTCCTCTTTGCGTCCCTGGCCTTTCAGGTGCGAGACCTGCCATGGCAGGAGGAGAGCTTGAGGGATGAGATGTCCGGGCAAGTTATCCAGACAGTGAACTTGGGACCCCCAGCCAGGAACATCTCCATGTTGCTTTCCCAGATCACACAGGGGATCTTTGCCTTCTTCTGTACTCATGCCGCAGGGCTGGCCGGGAAGTTCCAGCATTTAGTGCTTATCATGTTGGTAAGTGAGCCCCAGGCAGAACTTCCTCATGGAGGGGTTGATCCCTGGGTCACCCCAGCCCGCGAACATGAGCAGCTCAGCCTTATAGAGTCATGTGCTGCTGTTTCTGCCCATCAGCAAGGACATCACCCAGACAGAGACTCCCCTTTGGTTCTCTCCTCAGGTCACAGCTTCCCTCTCTATTCCCTTTTGGCAGTGGTTTTTGGGGAGATTTGGAAAGAAAACAGCAGCGTCACTGGGCCTGGCGGTGAGTTTGCCTGTGGTTGTGGCTGTGGATTGAGAAGCCCTGTGAGGGGACAGCCTTGCCCCCAGCCACTCATGGTGTCTCAGTAGAAGAGCTGGCTGGCAGCTAAGGGTGGCCCTGAGTATGGTGTCCTCTGCACTGCGGATGACCAGGAGTTAAGCCAGTAGTTCATGGCAGCCCTGCGCTTCCTTGTGCCTGGCCACTGCTGGTATCAGTGGCCATGGCTTTGCAGAGCTTTGCAGTAAGGTGCAGAGAGGCTGAGAGACCAACCCTGGGATAGTGGGGAAATGATTTTTCGCAGCATCACTCAATCAAGGGCTTGGGCTCTGAGACTCCATGGCTGCAGATCTGGTGAGCAGCGTGTGATCAGATGCTGTACCAATGCACCAGTGTGATGTGCACACACAGACATCATCCTGCGGCCTCTGTCCTGCTCCAGGATCTTGCATGCTTGATGCAAGTTCTGCCATCTAGCTCCGTAAGAGGCATGGGGAGGGAAGGAAGGGCTGTGCACCATGCTTGGCAGTGGCTGGGAAACAGCCTGCTCATCAGATACACGTCCCTGGCTCTGCAGGTCAGCAAAGAAATCCCATTTGGCATTTTGCAGAATAAGGTGCTCAAATCCCATGGAGGATCTATCTTCAGATGCCTTCCTCACAGATACTGGGCACAGCCATAGTAGATCCAGTTTTCCAGTTTAACCACTCAGCTCCATTGCCCTCCATAACTATCCCTTCTTTACCCATGAGGAAGGTTTTGCTGCCAGTGTCAGCCTGTCCAGCACCTCCACACTGCACTGCACAGGGGACAGAAGCAGTTCTGTTTATAAAATCAATGTGTGGGCAAGGGGGCAGTGTGGCCTTTAGTTGGGCAGATGGGTGCAAGCTGCCTGTGAGCAGCAGAAAGGGTGCATATTGCATATGCTTTTGGTTTTCCTCTTCCTCTCACCACTGCAGCTGATCATCCCAGCCCTGGTAGCCATCACCCAGGTGATGCACAACTTCCTGGCCTTCATCTTCCTGGTGATCGTGGCAGGCTGCAGCATGGCTGTGCTCTACCTTTTACCATGGTGAGCAGAGGCACCTCTGAGCCACTTCCCAGGCAGAGAGGAGGGGAAGGCTGTTGGGAAAGCACCACCCGTGACGTGCCAAGGCTGCCCGTTTGTTCAATAGAGCAGCTTTTGGGCTGCAGAGGGACATGTAGAGGTGGGACTGGGAAGGGACGTGGATGTGATTCACAGTCCCCCCAGCAGCATCGTTCAGTCTGCGTTCGGGTTCGGCAGCAGGATGCCAGTCATTGCGCAAGGCACTGTTTTTCTTCTCTTTTTCTGAAGCAGCTGCCACACCCTCTTTGTAAGACACTCTCTGCCCTGTTTGCCTAAGGCAGAGGACCAGCAAAAAACGGTCTCCAGAGTGGGGTTCTGCAAGGGGTTTCTCTCTCTCTCTCTGCTTCCTGGAGAGGCCTGGGAGCAGCTACAGCTGAGTTCAGCTGGCGCTGGCGTGGGTGTCACCAATGTGTATGTGGGGCTGTCTGTCGCCAGGTCCATGCTGCCAGATACGGTGGACGACTTCATGCTGAGGAACCCCAGCTGCCTCAACCTGGAGGCTCTCTTCTACTCATTTTACGTCTTCTTCAACAAGTTTGCAGGTGGCCTTGCCGTGGGGGTATCGACGCTGAGTTTACAGTAAGCCCCAAACACTACCTCCCCTATTTTGTCAGCCCAGCACAGGCACTTCCCACTACTGTTTTCCAGTGTTGATAGGAGATGCTGGAATGAGTCACAGGGGTATCCAAATTTGCCTTTCCAACATCTACTGGGAGCAAGAGGAGCAGAAAGGAGTGGGAATTCCCCAAAACTGGGCCTCCGATACCAGACTCTAGAGGAGAGCAACAGATGTGCCTACTTGCCTTTCTGCAGTGGCCCAGTGGGGCTGGGGGAAGGAAAACCATTCTCCTCTTTAGTTTTGCAGGTTACCATGCTGGAGACTGTACGCACAACCACTCCGTCATCCTCGCTCTGCAGCTTCTTATGGCCCCAATCCCAATAAGCCTGCTGCTCATTGCCATTATCATCTTCCTCCTTCATCCCATTGATGAGGAGAGGAGGAAGCAGATGAGGATGGAGATGGAGGCAATGGGGTAAATTCAAGCTCCTTGAAGGAGCTGGGTCACCTAGCATTATTCTGGGTGTCTGCCTTGGTCCTAGCCTGACACAGAAATGTTGTACGGGGAAGGGACTGCATGTGTCCAGTCCAGCTCCCCTTGGTTGGGCTACAATCCTCTCAAGGGGTGCATTTCCCAAAGGGCTTCAGGGTATTTTGGGGACTGCTGACTTCACGTCAGATTTCATGAGTGTTCTTGTTCCTTTTAACAGACATCAGGTACAGTGCGGCAGCCGAGAATAAACCCAGGGCTGAAGTGGGTGAGTTCATCGGGAAGGACGCGGATTTGCTGTGCTGTCAGGATGTGCTGCTGTCAGGGAAAGTCATTGCTTCCTGTTGTTTTCTGTTCCCTGTCCCAAAGGCCTGTTTTGCATCCTGACCCTTTCCCTCTCCCAGCTGGCAGGCATGGGACAGGGAGGGGGTCCTGCTGCAGCCCCAGCCCTGCCACCTCACCAGAGCTGCTTTCTCCCGGGGTTGGCCTCGCCAGTCTTTTGGCAGGTCCTGACAGATCTGGGCAAGGCAGATCCATGCTCTCCTTCTGGGAGAGACTGCAATGCTAGGGAGGAAAGGCCCCTGCCAGCCCCAGAGCAGTGCTCACACACACTGGCGTGTGGAGGTGCCACTTAACCTTGTGGGAAAGCATGCACAAAAGAACACAGGGATTGTTTTTGAAAGGAAACTATTTTTGACCGGTTTTTAGGGAGAATACTGCCGAGATAGTGCATGCCCCTGTACTTAGACTGCCCCTTCACAGGGAAAGGTTTAGAATTTCATTGAACAAGGGTGAAGTTCAAGCCAGCGGTGTTTTAAAGCATGTGCAGATACAATGACACCTGGCAGCAAGGTGGTGGAAGCCAGCTCTGTCCGTCTGCCTGGGCCTTGTTAGCTGAGTCACTTCTGGGAAACCAGGAGCTTCTCCATGCAAGAGGCCACGGGAACGGGCTGCACTGCCTCCGGTCAGGCAGCTGGGGAGGGTTCTGGCAGCTTGTCCTGTCTTTTGCCAGCTTGGGAGGTTACAGCAGAAGTGTCAAATGAATGTCAAGAAGAGCTGAGTCGCTTTTAAATCGTAGCCCATAGCTAGATCTCCCACAGCAGCATCTTGCCAGAGCTGCTCGGCACCCCCACATCTCTCCTGGCAACAGTGAGGGGACAGCAGGGCGAAAAGAGGAGAAATCAGCCATCTCGTGGCTGGTTGCCCTCAGCTGTGTTCAGCCTTGTGCAGAGGCAGAGAGTGAGGCTGGTTATTTTTAGGGCTAGAGCTGTATCTGACCGTTGGTTGACCTTGCAGCTCTCCAGTCTGGTGCACACTGGCAGGATCTGAGCAAATTACTCCCCAGTTGTGTGCTGAATTAATTTGAAGCCTTAAGTCTTGCGGTGCAACTTTGTGATCAATGGCGGAGATTGTGTTTTAGAGCTGCGTCAGGGCACCTGCAGGATCGTCGCAGCAGTCCAGATTCAGAACAATTTCTCAGATGCACAAAAGGCCTCCTTTTCTTTCCCCCTCTCTTTTTCTTTTTTTGTTGTCTTGTTTTCTGAAGTGTGAAGGATGTTCCTTGGGATTGCCTGACTAAGGCTGCGGTCAGGTGTTGGGATGCACTGCCCTCTGCCACGGTGCTGCTTTCAGCCTTGCTGCCTCTGGATTTACGAACAAGCAAGTGCCTTTGAGCGTCGAGGAAACACTCTGATTGCTGAGAATTTCAAATCCTGCCGAAAGCATGAATTATGTCCAAAGGCAGGCACCCCTTAGGACAGAGGAGTGGGCTTGATCTGGAGCTATGGGCCATGGGCTGCTGCAGAGCGGGACCAGACCCAGTGCAAGGCAGGGAGCTGCTGCTGGCATGCATGGTGCCTGCCAGCCCCACTGCTGCCTGGGGTGGTGCTTGTGTATATCAAATAATGTCCTGTTTATTTTTTACAGCATTAAATCTGAATGGTCACGCTTTTCCCTCTTGGTGTTTCTTATTTTGCAAGTTCTGCCAGCAGACGATCCAGAGGGCAAAGAGCAGTTTGGGCAGAATTCACTTATTTTTAAGCCTTTGTGCTTTCTCCAGAATTTAGAAACCACAATCTGACCGGAACCTTTCCTGGGTCTTGACCAGGTGGACCCTGAGCAGCAAGGGGTGGTCAAACCTGGCCAAGCTCCTCGCCCCTGTTGAAGTACTGGTTGTTGCAGTGCCCTTGCTTGATGGTAAAATCAGCAGGTTATGCCAGGGAGTAAAAAAAAAAACCCAAAACACCCCACCCAGGGCGAGAGCCGCAGTGCCTGACTTGTGCAAGTGTGCCTGCGCCAGCGTGGTAAGGGATCTAGCGTAGGCATACATTGAGCACTATTTTCCCCTTTCAGATCCTTGTTTATCGCTGGCCCTTGTAGGGAGAGCAGGCCCAGCCCTTCACCAAGATAGCAATAATCAGGAGGGATAAGAGCGTGCCCCTTTTTCTCCCCTTTTATTTTTCATCTTGACTCTGGGCCTCACACATCTGCCCTGCTGACAGGTGTGTTGCAGCTTTAACATAAAAATTATGCTATGGCATCAAGGAAGAAAACACATCCTTGGTATTTCAGGA